TTCCTGCCTTCTGGCTGGGTGCCACGAACTTCATTCCCATTGCCCAGAGGGCAACTCTGAAATCATGTTTTGAAAACAACAAAACCTAAGTCAGCCTGGGTCCCAGGAATAGCAGGGCCCTTTCCCAATCCTGCGCACCTGCCAAATACTGTTATGTGAATGGCCCTCAAGCTGCTCTAGTGGTTTTGCTATGGCAGCTAGCTCTGCACAATCTAATACAACACATCCACATTCAGACACAGGCACATAAACAAACAGTGAAAAATGTGATTTTTAAAAGTTACTGTTTACAGTAATCACAATGATATGAAGTTTTTAGGTAGAAATCTAACAAAATTTGTAAGATCTTAACGGGGAAAATAATCAAAGTTTATGAAAAGATGCTAAGTAAAAGTGAGAAAGCTACAGAAGAACAGATGAGATGGGAGAAAGAGAAGGAGGGAGAGAGGAAAAGAGAAAAAGGGAGGAGCGTTATATTCATGTAGGAAAAGATTTAATAATGTAAAGATGTCACTTTTCTTACAATTATACTAAAGATTAAGTGAAAGTCCTATCAGTTATCAATGAAGCACTTCATGAAACTTCATGAGGTTATTTTAATTAGATATAGGGAAAAAATGACCCTAAATAACTAAGATAATAACAATACAGAAACATCTCTTTCAAAATTTATATTTTTTTAAATTATTAGGATTATGATAACATGACAGTTAGAGAGACAGGCAGAGAGAGAGAAAAAATGATGCACCAGAATACAGAGCCATGAAACAGACCCATGCATGTACTGAAACATGATATATGATGGATCGGGTTGGAAAGAATAGAATTCTTGATAATGCAACCGAGGAAAGAATTAGTCATCAAAAACTAGATTAGACTTAAGGGGAAAAGCATTGCTTTAAAAACCTTCAGAAGAAATGTAAAATAATACCTTTATAAGCTAAAAGTGGAAAGAATTTCTTAAAGTACATAAGCCACAAATTAGGCTGATTAAAATTATAAAGTTCTAGTTATCAAAATATACCATAAAGAAAATGAAAATGGAAGCTTTAAAACCCAATAGAAACAATAGGAAAAAGAAAATCTGATAGAAAAATGGTCAAAGCATAGGAGTGAAGGTGGATCAATATGAAGGCACATAGAGCAGAATTCATTAACAGAATCAATATGAAAGGTGACTTGGTGTTATCTTACAAAGCTTAATTGTTCACTCACATGAAAACTACAGAAAACTCACGTCACAATGTTCAAGTTTCTGATAGGTAAATGTTTTTAATAGTGACAAACTGGAAACAATCTACATGTGTACAAGCAGAGGATGGATAAATTGAGGTAGAGTCACAACAGAAAGTCACTTAGGAGTGAAAAGAAGTGTGTTACAGCCACAGGTGAAATAATTATCACAGAAAACCAACTGAAAACTGGCAGATATTCTACACAACCAAAGTTACAAGAGAGATCTCCATGTACCTGCGTACGACAGAAAAAAAATGGCACCAGGAGAGGACAGCCACCCCTGGAAGGGATCTGAAATGGGGAAAAGGTCCACACAGGCAGACCCTTGCCCTGGGGAGCCACCATGCCTGCTGAGAAATCTGCTGGGACAGTCAGAGGGGCTGCAGAAGCCTAGACTCTCCTCACAAGGAGTGCACACTTGTTGGCTTGCTAACAGTCAGGGAGGAGAGAGACCTGTGCTGGCAGCTACAGCCTTCCATGCTTCCCAAATCAAAGGGGCGAGTGCCCCAACCCTGCTTCCTCCATACTGCCCCTGGCATGAGATCAGGGCAGAGTCAGTCTAGCTGCCCAGAGACAAACCTGGCATCCAGGATGTGATCCAGGCTGAAGCTCAAAGACCACTGTAGAGCATGTATAGGGGCAGCAGGTCTAAACAGGCAGATGCTGTCAGCATGTCCCTGGTGGGGCCAAAAGAACTGTGCAGCAGCTAAGCACTGAAGCTTAAGCCCTGGGAGAGGACTACTTAAGAATTAATATTGTTAAAATGCTAAAACTGAAGGAACAAATAATCCTAAAGTTTATATGGAATCATAAAAGACACAGAATTTCCAAAGCAATCTGGACAAAAAAGAACAAAGTTGAAGGCATAACACTTCAAGACTTTAGACAGTAATACAAAGCTACAATAATCAAAATGGTGTGATATTGGCATAAAAATAGACATACAGATCAATGGAATAGAATGGAGAGGCAAGAAATAAACCCATACACCTACAGTCAATTGATCTTTAACAAAGAAGGCAAGAATATACAATGGAGAAAAGATAGCCTCTCCAGCAAGTGGTGTTGGGAAAGCTGGATAACTACTTGTAAAACAATTAAGTTAGAACACTCCCTCACATCACACACAAAAGTAAACTCAAAATGCTTTAAAGATCTAAATTTAAGACGACACCGTAAAACTCTTAGAAGAGAACGTAGGCAAAACATTTTCAGACATAAATTGTAGCAATATTTTCTTAGATCAGTCTCCCATGGCAAAAGACATAAAAGCAAAAATAAACAAATGGAACCTAATCAAACTTAAAAGCTTTTGCGCAGTAAAGGAAACCATCAGCAAAACAAAAAGAAAACCTATGGAATGGGAAAAATATATGCAAATTATTTGGCAAACAAGGGGTTAATATCTAAAACATGCAAACAGCTCAAAGAGCTCAATTTCAAAAACAAACAAATAACCCAATAAAAATGGGCAGAATACCTAAATAGACATTTCTCCGAAGAAGACATACAGATGGCCAACAGGCACATGAAAAGATACTCCACATCACTGATTATTAGAGAAATGCAAATCAAAACATCAAGACTACAGTGAGGTATCACCTCACACCAGTCAGAATGGCCACCATCAAAAAGCCTACAAATAATAAATGAAGGAGAAGGTGTGGAATGTAGAATGGTGCAGTCACAATGGAAAACAGTATGGAGGTTCCTTAAAAAAACTAAAAATAGAGCTCCCATATATGATCCAGCAACCCCACTCCTTGGTATATAGCCAGAAAAGATGAAAAGTCTAATTCAAATAGATAAATGTACCCCAATATTCATAGCAGCACTATTTATAATAGCCAAGACATGGAAATAACCCAAATGCCCAAATATATACATATATATACACACACATATACACACACACATAAATACACACACACACACACATATACATATACACACACAATGGAGTATTACTCAGCTATAAAAAGAATGAATATTGCCATTTGCAGCAACATAGATGGATCTAAAGAATACTTAGAGAGCAAGTCAGACAGAAAAAGACAAATACTGTATGATACCAGTTACATGTTAAATCAAAAAATAATACAAATGAATCTATATACAAAACAGAAAGAGACTCACTGACATAGGAAACAAATTTATGATTACCAAAGGGGAAAAGGGGTAGGGAGGGGGAGGGATAAATTAGGAGTTTGAGATTAGCAAATATAAACTGCTATGTATAAAAATAAAGAACAGGGATTTATTATATAGCATAGGGAACCATATCCAATATTTAATAATAATCTATAATGGAAAATAATCTGAAAAAAGTGTATATAACTGAATCACTTTGCTATATACCTGAAACTAACACAATATTGTAAATCAACTATACCACAATTTAAAAAAATCTTTTGCTGAATTCTTGTATACTTCAGCAACTTATAGTTTCAATTTAACCATGATTTGACAATGACAGTAGCACCCCAATTCACTAACTTTACCTAATAAATTTATTGCCACTAAATTTGATGTGTGTTTTACCTTTAAATTATTTTCCATCCTTACTCAAATTTGATTCATTAAACTGAAGCCTCTTTTGGCTTTAGTATTATCATATTTCAAACTCTACTCTTTCATCAATAATATGAACAACTTCTTACTGAATTAGATAACCGTGTTTAATACTAGAAGAATAATTCCTCAAGTTGGGTGATATTCTATCCACAGTGTAAAGGCTATAGGCATAATATACTTTTAAATTTAATCTGAATTAACATTTTTCTCAATCACTTTTTTAAGTCCAGACTGTCAACCAAACAATAAGTCACCATCTGATCTGAAGTATTTGCCTACTGTCAGCGTGCAGGTATTCTCACTGGCTGATTTCAAGCTACCAATGCAAAGTCAATGAATGTGAATCTACAGAGAGATACACAGTAGCACACACTATTCTCCAGTACTTTCACCATACAGATACACTAGTCATAAATGACTTCAAGAACAGAGTTAAGACAAAAAGCAGTAACATAATTTTAAAAGTGATGAGTTTTCACTATTTATCTCTAATTTGAAAGTAGTAGTTAACTTTTAAATAGTAGGTTTTAAACATTTTAAAAGAGTTTAAATATATAGGTTTTAATAATGGCTGCATTTAACAATCAGTTTTCAAAGTTCCTGAAAATTTGGCAATTGGCTCTTCTGATCAAGAGCTAGTCCTCCTCAGCCCACCTGTTAGAGGATGGGTTGAGTGACAGTAAATGGGCGGGAGTAAGAGCAGCCAAGCACACTGTTAAGAGGTTGCTGGTGCCCTCCCTCGGAAAACAGCGGTACTACAGTTCTCTTGCTCTGAGATATAGTCATGCGCACTGAGTTCTGGCTAACAGTATAGAGTGGAAGTGATGTGTATCACTTCCCACCTGGTTGATGGTCCTCCCCACCCACTTCTCTCTCAGATGAGATCTTAGCTCTCTTCCTCATCTGCCAGCTGAACGGAGAAGGCTGAGCAGTCCCAGAAGACAGAGGCACAAGAAACAGGAACCTGGCTCCTTAATAGTCGTGTTGAACAGAATCACCTCTCACTTGCCCCCTCTACTCACCCACTCATTCACATGCTGACCAGAACAGGCCTGAGATGACCAAGAAAATCATTTTACTTCGTTGAATTACACAGATTTCAGGACTTATCTGTCACAACAACTGGTATTTTTTTCCCTCAACAAATATAAAATCAATGCAGGATTTTCTTTTGTTTGTTTTGTTTTGTTTCGCACTGAGAGTCTGAGCTGTGTTTTGTGTCTACCTTCATTGCTTCTCTATCACATCTTTATGCTGAGGCTCCAACTGGAGACTGTACTGAAGATCAGGGGCTGGAGAAATGGATCTTATTGAACAGACCCCCACAGTGTAAGAATTATATTGAAAAACAAATTATATTGTCAAACCCACCTGTAGTTTGGCATCCTTTTTTTTTCCTTTTCTTTTATTTTGTTTTTCAACAGTAACATGTCAATTTTTTATCCTTGAATAGTGACACTAAAGGAAGTAGCAAATAAGGCCAGGATAAAGTAATTAATTTTTAGAAAATCAGCCTCCACAAAAAAAGACATCGACCAGTCTCCCAGGGGAGAGCTATCCCTGCAGGACAGCCTGTGGGCATTGGTCCAAGTTCAAGTAGTTTCTTCTCCGTCCTCTATCAGCCCTCCATCAGCCCTCCAAGTGGATGTAACGCAGCCATCTGACCTTTGAGTTACATGTGCAATAATATTCCTTTCTGCTTGGGGTGTCCTTATTTCTTATGTCTTTTTTTCCTTTTATTAGGAATGCTTCCACATACCCTTAACAATATTATCTTTCACAGTCTGGGGTCTCCCTTTTTAATCTTTTAGTAGGATACTTTTAAATGCTTCCTGGCTTGAGTTCTTTCTCTGTGTTTGCACACCCTCTGCTACATGGAAGATGAGCACATCTCTTCTGAGACTTACCTTGTTAGCGATCCCCAAACACAGACACACAGGTGTGTCACTCTTACCTTCAACTACGATGTCAGGCCCTCCAGTATCAAGACTTTTCTTGTGTTCGCCGAGCTTCCTTCTTTTTTTTCTTTTTTGAGAATAAGAGGTAGGTTCTTCAAAAGTAATCTGAAATGGAAATTAGTTCAAAGATTACTTTATGACATATTCAGATCTAAATGAACTGAGATATACGAAATATTTACAGTGCTTCTTTCATGAGATAAGCCTCCTGTCAGAGGCATAAAATGCTAAATAAATGCCCTGCTCTATAACAGACTGCAAAAATTACTATAATATACCACCTAATGAAGTCCTACAGAGTATCTTCTTAAAACTTGCTATCAGGTTTCCTATTTTCAACATTTTTCTACCATCAATGCTGGGCACCTGGGCTTTTTCTTCTGTATTATATAAGAACATAAAAATAAAAAGCCCATCATTCAGTATCATAGAAAAATAAAGAAATTTTAATTCTAACCCAGATGCTATTATTTTTTTTAACCCAACCTTCTGTGGATTCTAAGGAAGAAGAACTACTGTGAAGAGGGTGTATTGTTTATGCTTTCCAATATCCATTCATCACTTTTCTGATAGTTGTGCCTCAGTTTCCTTCTGAGCCATCACTCCTTTTGCACTGCTAGCTCCAGTGCTTTGGGAAAAGCTTGGCTGCTGACTCAAGAGTTAAGTATGTGCCAATTAGAGCATTTCCCTAAGTGAGTGACTGTTGCAGGGCAGGGCAGGTAACCCAACCAGAGATGGTGAGAAATGAAGTGCCTATTTCTGGAACTTGCACTCGCTTCTATATAGCTATTTCTTCTACTTTGTCTCTCACTCAGGCTCCCTAGGATCATCTTTCATACCCACTATGTGCATATTCTTGTCTTAGTCCCTACTTTGGGGAGCATGGGGGAGGATTGGGGCACCAGGCTAACACGCCCACCATAGTCCATCTTCCTCAGAGCAGACAGATTTCACTTTTGAAAGCTAAGTGAAAGCAATTCATCCCTGGCTGGAAACATTCCAGTGGCTTTATTTTACTACAAAATAAAAATCAAAACTCCTTTGTGCCGTGGTCTGCAGGAATCCACAAAATGTGACCCTGCCACCTTCTGATCTCATCTTCTTCTGAACCCCCTCGTTTACAATTCTAGCCACACCAGCCTTCTTTTTGCCCCTAGAATATGTCAAGCCCATTTTTGTCTCAGGACATCTGTACTTGATGTTTAGTCTGCTTTGAAAATCTTTCTCGGGATGTTTTCAGGCTGTTTTCTCATCTAGGGTTAACTTAAAAAAACACCTTCTGAAAAGCTGGTTCCCCACCACGCTGTCTAAAGCACTCACCCTATCACCAATTCTCTATCACAATTCTGTACTTAACGATAATTGTAAATATCTAAATTTGTTTTACTCAGATTCTCTCTTTCCCTCTGGACTGCACTGCAGCTGAAAATGAAGTGTAGAACTGTTGTAATTTTCTTATGGAAATGACGACAGAACCTGGAGGAGGATGGCAGGTACAGGAGGAGAGCAGAGAAATGACACAGAAAAGAAACCAGATTCTGGTGCTGCTGGATGCCTTGTGGCTTAAACAGCCTCCGAAGCCAACCTAGCTCTGCTCTTCTCAGTTAAATCATACATCAGATCTCCTAGTTGGTTTGAATTGAGTTTTCTGTCACTTAAGTTAAACAGATAATATGGACTCTAAGGAAAAAATCAGTAGGGCTATCATTTAAAGACCACCCCCCCTTGAAAAAAAAGAAATAACAAAAAAAGACAGGATGTTCCTTAGAGAAATTAAGTGTCTTAAAAGAATCACACTAGAGCAAAGAACAGCAAAGTTAATAAGACTTGAAAATATTTGTCAAACAAAAATTTTACTTGGTGTTTTGACATAAATTACCAAGGGTGATGTGTAGTGCCCTTCTCTGGAGGTACTTTAAGAGTGTCTCTCCTGTTTGAGGTGAATGAATTAGCATCAGCCTGATGGCAGGGAGGATAAAATGACCTAAGGCTCCTTTTGATCCTGAGATACAAACAAAACTAGCTGTTCTAGTTAGTGAAAATTGTTGATGAACCAGAGGGCATTTTTAGGGCACCACGATGTTATTAGACTAAGTAAGAACTCATGCTTGGAGCATGAAGTGAAAAAAAACAGTAAGAAAGAAATATTATTTATTGGGGAAGGCAAACTAATGCCATATAATGGTGACTAGTCCAAGACATGAACAGGATATGCCTGGAGGGCCTCAGGATCACTTGGGTATGTTCAGAAAGTCTTTCTGTTATAATTGATCCCAACATTTTCAACATCTGATATCTGGAACCATATGTCACTTCAATAACATATCCAATAATTATTGCAACAACAATGATACCTCAACGTTTTGGAGCAGTCTCCGTATGTCAGGTACTGTTCTCAATATAAAACATGTGGTATCTGTTTCAGTCCACCACCAACCCAATGAAGTAGGTACTATTAATTTCTCTATTTTATAAATGAAGTCACTTAAACAGAGAGGGCATTTATTCTCTCGATGGATCAGATATCAAAGTCCCAAGAAAGGATAGCTAAGGTGCATAAACATCAAAGCACAAAGCAGACCAAAGAAGTCAAGAGCCGGCAAAGTTGGTCCTTACCAAATTTGGATCTGATCATTTTTTTTGGACCTCAGCTATTGAGAGCATGTTCCTGGAGTTTAATACTGTGCGCAAACCAGATGAAATCTGAAACTCTCTAATTTTTCATAGAACTGGAATATGGTAACACATTCAGCCAAAGGCAAAATCTCTCAATGTCAGAGGAGAGGCTGATGAGGCTGGGCTGCTTGAGGAGATCGCGTGGCAAGAAATTCAGGAAGGCCAGATTGTGTATGACAGAGGACATGCCAATATGCCAGTTAGGAAATAAAAATAGGAAAGTCCAAATAACTTAGTGCATGCACAGGTTTCTTCCCCCTGCAAAAGAAGTCAATTTGAAAACCTTCAGGGGAAATAAAATTTCTGTGTTTGAGATGAGGTTTTACATAAATGAAGAGCTTAAAATACTTTCAACTTGACATGGCTTGTTTTCAAGCTCCAGTGGTTCATTATGAAGTATAGATTATGTATCTAAAAGAGTGAACCAACAGAGACCTAAAAAGGTAAGGGAAAATGTCTCACTGAGTGCCGTGATCACTAGCTTCCTCTATTGTAAAGGGAAAACCCTTCTCCTCTTAAACTTTTACACTCATGTACTTGACATCTTTTGCAGCAATTAAGTGGTTCTTTAGTGACAACTCTGTACCCCAGGGCCACATCATGGGTGACTGTATTGGAGAAGCAGATCCTGAGGACAACACTAAGAGGAACCCGCAGGGGTGCACCAGTGAGGCTCTGGTTGAAATGATAACTCGGGGAAGCTCAATCCATCCACTTCTCTTAGCTTCTAGCCTATGTTGTCCTGCATGTGCCCTAGTGCATAGCAAGAGGTAGTAGAAAATAAGGCTTGACTCAAAGAGATCTAATTTCCAAAAAAAGTTTTGTAAATAAAACAGTAATGACTGTCTTTCTGGGTGACTGGGTTACAGCCCTGCTCTTGGGGGTTGGGGGTGTGAGACCTCTTGAGATGTTCCTTATTTCTATAACTGAGATTTGAAATGGTCTGAACTTCCAGAATACCTCTCTGCTGAGTCACTGACTCACAGGCCTAAGACTCTGGGAACACAGGTGGTTCTTTCCTTATTTTAGACAGATAAGGGTGTAGAAGTCTGCGGAAACAAGGGGACCTCACGAAAGCCTCCACAGGAAGGACAGCCCGCAGCAGACTCTGCAAGAGTCTTGAACTCTCCAGTTCTCAGCTTGGGGTCCCAGGAACACAGGATCCATCATCTCCACTAGGCTTTTTCATTCCTCTCTTCTTATATTTTCAGTTTATTGTGATGAACAGTAATAACCGCCTATGAAATTCCACAGAACAAGTACTGTAAATCCATTTGAAATACTGTGATCTGATTCCAATCCATCTGCCTCCTTTACTTACTGGCTTCTGCTAACACACCTGGTGAAACTCAGAAGGTGCAGCTGGAGTCCTGCTTTTAGTCTTTTTAAAACATCAATTGGAAGCTGAAACTCAAAGCAATGTGACCCCTGTGCAATCTGAAACCTAAAAGTCCCCCAAGGCTCTTCTGTGAATTAAATGGCCAAGTTTCAAAAACACACACATGGCATCTGAATGAGGTTCAGGGCAGCTGGTCAGAAAAAGGAACTGAACAAAAGAAGGACAAACTTAAACTCACTGAAAGAGCAGGCATACCAACAACAAAGGCAGGCAGACAATGGCACTGAGGCCACGCAGAGCTTTCCAGGCCTCTGACGGAGCTAGGGCTCCTGAGAGTTTGGCAACAGTGTAACTAATTAGGGAGCCCAGGACTTCAAGTGTCAAAGCACTATTTGGTCTCCCAGACATGACCTAGACAGTTTCATTAGCTGCCACCTTCTCTGGGGACCCCGTGAATCTTTCTGGGTCAACTTGAAGCCAATCTCCTTCAGCAATTCAGTGGCTCTTCTATACGGCTCACGTGACTCTTTTCTTGAAATGTGCCCTGAGATTAGAACAGAAATTCTGCCCCGCCTCCTGTTCCTTTCAATTAGTGAAAGAGCAGCCTGGACCAACTTCAAGGGCTCCAAAATATTCAAGCCATCGTTTTTTCCAAGAGGGTGTTTCTTTTATCCAAGGCTGCACAAGTTGCTGTCATTAAAACTACAGAAGTACATCACTCTATCCCTGTAATCTACAATCTCTTTTAGGACACAAGATTCACAAACCTGAAATGATGCTAGAACAATACAATATTGCCCTGAAACCAACTTAGCTTTAATTATATTCTGTGTTAAATGGAGTTGGTCTCATATTCCCTCTCAGAATATGAAATCCTAGAGTGCAAGTCCATGTTGTCTGTATCCCTACAGCATGTAGAATTGAAGCCGAGCACTGCAAGTCTACCATGGATAATGGATGGTTTGTAGGATTACAAACTGGGAACCTGAAATGCCTGTATTTCTTCATGGGTTAGGTCTCCCGGTAGCACTAGAGATGGAGACAGGTGGAAACTGGCACCAGCTTATACAAAAAAGTTTATTCTAGGTTG